AGTTCCCTCCTGCCCAGTGGTGTGCTGAGAAAAGCTTACCAGCTGGCTCCTCTGAGCGTAGGGAGCTCTGGTTTATAGCATCTGCCAATCTCTCTGGTGTAAATATTCCCACATGGCCAATTTCCAGCTGCTAATTTGAGGATACAAAGCAGAGATGGAAAGAGGCTGGTAATGAACTCATATGAATGGATACAAAGTGGCTGCCCCACACCACTTCCAGGTCTCCTCCCATCATGGCAACTCAGTCATGGGGTCAGTGCCCTTTTGTGCCCGGTTCTTGTGCTCAGAGTGGTTCTGAGATTCATTCATGTCATTGCCCTCATTAGGGTCTCCTGCCTTCTGATTGCTGAGTAGTAGTCAGTTGTATGGCTGTCCCAGTAAACAGTATCCACCGCTGTTGAGAGTAGTAGTCAGTTGTATGGCTGTCCCAGTAAACAGTATCCACCGCTGTTGAGTCTAAGGCATGGCAGCCCTTTACGGCAGAAGGAGGCACGCATGCCCTTGTGCCGTCTTCATGATGCATGGCATATTTGAGTCCATTGTGGTGGCCACTGTGTCCATTCCTGTCATCAAGGTCCTATGTGACCTTGTCCATCTTTCTGCCGTTCCACTTGACCAAATGTGTTGTCTCTCTCCTGCGATCTATGCCTTCCCACGATGCACGTCGAAGTCTCCCTCCAACTTCTGTGAGCTGGCGGGTTGTCATCGGCTAAGTTTCTGAAGAGATTGCTAGGCCTTTCTTTCTAGTCTGTCTTCGTCTGGAAGATCTTCTGAAACGTATCCATCATGGGTGACCCTGCTGGTTATTTGAAGTACCAGTGGCATGGGGGCTAAGGGCTCAGGCCCATGGGCTCGGGGAACACCAAGGTCAACTGACCTAGTCCACAAAGACAGTGTTCTATAACCTCCTTCGGTGAGTAGCCACTGGAAGGTTAAAGGCTGGTGAGCGGCCGTCTAAGGTGCAGCTAGTGGTCCCTCTTGGTGTGGGGGAAGGAAGAGGAGAGGAAATCCACGTTGCATGGACATAATTAGTCCAATGGATCAGGAGAACTCCCGTCTCCAAAGACCAGAGAACTAGATCGCTGCCCAGCTACCATTACTAACTGCTCTGAAAGGAATCACATCAGAAGGTTCTGGAGAGAGTGGGAGAAAGATGTGGAACAAAACTGAACTTCATAAAAAAGACCAGGTTTACTGGTCAGATAGGCAGGTGGAGCCCCCAAGACTCCGTATGGCCTTCAGCCATCCTTCAGGCCTGGAAATGAACCCACCCTGAGGGTTCCCTTTTTGACCAAACAGTAGACTGGTCCACAGAGGGAACAGTGACAGTAAGGAGGTGTTTAGGGCAGCATTTACCCCAAGACAAAGCTCACAGGAATTAAGGAAGAATGGAAACAGGGAGGAAGTAGGATACAGTGATGCTACATTGTAAAGATTGCGATCAATGACACAAAACAAAATGTATCTGAATTGCTGGATGGAAAACGGAGCTGCTCCTTAAACGTTCACCCAATTCACAATAACAAGATCGAAGTGAATCACCAAAATGATCCGCCTTTAGAAAAAGAAACACCCTCATCCGCTCGGTGGGTGGGCCCGTGGGCTGCCGACTGGTGGAGGGCAGTCTCAGCAGGCTGGGGAACGCCAGCAGGCCAGGTAGTTGGTTGGTGGGCACCTCTGGGTTGATGTGGTAGTCACCTAATTTGATGACAATTTAAGGATTAAGAGTGTAGGGGTGGAGTCTAGGCTGTCAATCTGGAGATAGTCAAGGAGATTTCTGTGGGCATGGCCTTCTCCTGAGAATTCTGGGAAATCTGGTACTTCCTCGTTGGAGGTGGAAGACACCTCTCTCTCTCTGCTACTCACTGGGAGACATTGCAGAAGACAAGACACATGGACGCAACCAGACTTCGGAAGCTTGAGAAGCCACAGAGAGACCCCTGCCAGCACCGAGAGGCTTACAACGCCACTGGACCCAAAGACTTTCTACCCACTGACTTGTGATCATCCTGCATTTGGCTTCATTGCATGTGTTTCGTGAGTCTGAAGATTTATAGATTGGTATCAGACATATGGGATAATATTGGAATTATGGACCTGATCTGGACTGGGATGTTTTCTCCATGTTCAATTGCTCTTATATATAAATCTCTTTCTTATACACATATGCGTGTCCATGGATTTGTTTCTCTAGTCTACCCAGACTAACACAGTGGAGCAGTTGGAGGGTTCTGGTGTTTGAGGCCCTGTCAAAGACTTCACAAGTCACCTGCCAGGAAGGTCAGCAGGTAGCAGCTGACATACCTCTCAGAGATGACAGGAGAGCAGCCAAGGACCCACCGGGATTTGGGCAGGACCTTGCGGTCTGGAGAGCAGCAGTACAGGACCAGGGCCAGTCCTGAGCCACACTAAGGCAGACCAGAAAGACCAGGGGTCCCGCCACTCAGCTCCCACCTCTCTGTGCCTGAGTCTAGATCTGTGCCATCTGAGCTTTGTAGGGTGTACTGGCGTGGCAGGCAGCTGCGCAGGGGCTGGGCATGGATGTGCAGGGCACGGTAGAATTCCGGCAGTCCCATTCACTGCTCCGTTGCAGGTGACTCAGGTGGTGCACAGTCATACCCATAGAGCTGCCTTGGGGTTCCAGAACTTTTCACCCTCTTTGTGGGTGAGAATCTGTGGGCTTTAGTGGTTCAGCTGCAGGATGATCTTGTCCACCTGCTGCTCATGTAGATGTCCATGGCCCATCAAGAAAGGTGTGTCCTGGGCCAGGTGGTCACAGTATCTGACATGGCAGCAATCGCTTTGCCTAGCTCCGAGTTCTGGGACTGTCTGCCTGGTCACCTGTGGCTGTAATTATCCTGCCCTGCGGGCAGAGGTTCCTTGCCAAAGACCCGCCCCCACCCTCACTCTCACCTCCACCTGCATTTATTACTGTGCTGCCTGGGACCCACGCCCGGCCATTCCAATTAGAGGAACATTGATTCCCTTCTATCCAGCTTTTGAGGAATCCCCTCCCGCTCTCTCTGCTCATTCATCCCACAGAGAGTATGAGACCTTGCGGGTGTTTGGTATTTGTTTTTGTCCTGTCTTCTCACAACAAAAAGCCCCTCCAGACCTTATCCCGGTCAGGTCTCGGAGCACAAGGTCAGGCGTTATTTATCATTCTATTCCTGGCACATCTGTTGACTTGAATGTAATGGTTTTCTAACCAAGCAAGACACAGAATCACTAATGTCCTTTAAGAGCTGCCTCCTCAGGGGCTAACAGGAGGGAGTCACAGAAATTGGGGAGCTTTTTCCCCCCCCGAGCTGCTGCGTGGAAACCCTTGAGCTGTCTTCCGGGGGTCCTAGTGTTGGTCACTGTGGGCATGAGGAGGCCAGGCTGGGTGGTATACCTCATAACCCCAGGAACTGTTGTCTCCTGTTGGCTGTCCCCTTAGGGGGCCCCTGCTGATCTTATCTGGCTTTGCCCCATTTGGTTAGCTTTCAATGAGAGGCTAGACCAGCTCGTAACCCGTCTGTCTTGTCCATCTGGTTGTATGAACAGGACTGGCTATGGAATTCGTGAGACACAGGCAAGAAGAAAACGCAGGCTTACTAAGTTTATTAAGAAGTTTAAGACCGTGACAGCCCAGCACTAAACCAGGGTGGAATCCTATACAGCCGCACAAGGCCCACCCACTGAAAAAGGGCAGGGCCTTGCTCAGCTTAGAAAAACCAACCAAGAGAGCTCAGGGCAATTTCTCCTCCAAGCCCTCTTCCCTCTCTTAGTACAAAGACAGCTGAGCGAGAAATCACCCCATGTTCTATTTTTATTCAAGCCTCCAGGTTCCTCCTGCTGCCTCCTCGCCTTCCTAGGCCAAGGCTTGACTCCTGAGAAAACACACCTGCAAAAACAGACTTCCCAACAGGGCAGGGTCAAGGTTGAGGACAGTGCAGTGTCGGCTTTCTTTATCAAGACTTCCCCTGCCCCCTATGAAGGGGCATGAGGGGGTGCCTATGAGAGAGAGGTTGTTGGGCGCACATTTGAGGAGACAATGCACCCACTACAAGGAACCAATCTCCTGCTTGCCATTCATAAGAAGGATGCTGCCCCCACCCCCCACCCGGACTGAAGGGTGTCATGTTTATAAACAAACACACATGCTGCCATCGAGTCAGTGCTGACTTATGGTGACCCCATGTGCGTTTCCAAAACTTTTCACTGTTTATGGGAGTAGAAAGCAGTCTTTCTCCCCAGAGAGGCGGGTGGTTTCAAACTGCCGACCATGCAGATCGCAGCCCAACGTGTAACCACGACACCAGCAGGGCTCCTTGTAGACCCAGAGGTTATACATAAATTGACAACAGCGCTTTGGATGGCTTCACCCTTGCTCAGGGGCCCAGAGAGGCTCCCTAGTGCCTTCCGGGACCTTTGACTGAGCAATCAAGGCTCTTCAGGGAGGGGTCACGGGACGGATCGCGAGCGGAGGCAGCAAAGCTAAAGGTCTCCGGCTCCGGGACCACTGGAGAAATGAAAAGGGACATTGGCCTTGGTCCTGGGTCAAAAAGGGTGGGTGGGGGCTGCTTTGTGAGGAAACAATTTGCAGAGGCTGAGGCTGGGGGCCAAACGGGCTGGCTCTCCTTAAAACGTCTCGGGCAACCTGAGCCAGGAAGCCCGCCAGTCGCCCCCGCGCCCAGCGCCCCGCGCCCCGCGAGCAACGCATCCAATCATGGCCGCCGAAGCCCAGCTTCCGGGCTGCAGCCACGCCTCCCGGTGACGCAACGGCAGCGGGTTGCATCAGCCCACGCCCACGTCTCTAGCCCCGCCCCGACCGGGCGCCGATTGGTCCACGTTAGGGCCGTGGCCTCCCCGCCAGCCAATAGGCGTCAGCCACAGGGGGTTCCGTCCGCAGAGCCCGGTCACGGGGCAGGTATAAAGGGCTCCCGAGGCTGGGCGCGCCACCCCCGAGAGGTCCGCTGTCGTTGCGGAGGCTGCGGGCGGCCGTGGCGCCGTGGGCCTGGCATCTGGGAGCGCAGCGGAGCCCACCGCGCAGGCGACATGGAGCCGGACGCCCAGCCCGAGCTGGAGCCGGTCACGCTCCTGGTGAAGAGCCCCAACCAGCGCCACCGCGACTTGGAGCTGAGCTGTGACCGCAGCTGGAGCGTGGGCCACCTCAAAGCCCACCTGAGCCGCGTCTACCCCGAGCGCCCGGTGAGCGGGGCCCCTGGCTGTCACCCCC